ATGTCCCCGCATAACCCCGAGGGCTAATCAAGCCAGCTTGGGTTTCTCTACCAGCTCTGGTCTCCCACAGTATGAAACCTCAATGCGTTTTCCCTCCTAATTAGCTGTGCTCATCATTTTTGGTTAACGGTGATAAAAAACCCCACCCCGACAGGTCTGTGTCACAAGCGGGCTTTGAAAGGGCTTATTTTATAGCTAAGTGAGAAAAAGCTGAGCTTATCAAACCACATGCCTGTGGTGGGCAGGGGTAGGTGTCTATTTCTGAAGAAACCTCAGAAGGGGAAGAAGAGTCCTAAATCCATGGAGGGCTGCTGACAAAGTGGGGGGAAAGCTTCAGCCCTGCAAAGAGAAGGAGAGAAAGCAGCTTTCCTGCTCTGCTCCCAAACACCAGCAGCAAAAGGGTGTTTGATTTTGGTCCTGTCCCACCCCTCAGCTTGGAGGGAGCAGTTGTCTCTGCTGTTAATTTTTAATAGATTCTGGAAAAATCAGAGCGATTTCAGGGAAATAAGCTGATTTCCAGCCTGCACATATAGAATCACAGAATGGTTTGGGTTGGCAGGGACCTTAAAGATCACCCAGTTCCAACCCCCCTCCACTGAGCCTGGGGAAAGACCCCCCGGGTACCTCTGAGCTGGTTCACTGGCTCCAGAAGCAGAGTGGAAGTCACCTGTGGAGAACTGCAGCACCTTTGCATGAAGCTTTTCTCATGGTGAGGCTGCTGGCGGGCTCAGCACCAAACACAGGCTGTGATCGTGCTGTGCCAGTGCTCCAGCCGTGCCCTGGCACAGAGGTGCCCATCCCAGAGCCAGCCCCAAAGCCTTGACCCTCTCCCCCAGCACCTCTCAATCACATTTTTAGCTGGAAAATAGATCTAAGACAACATCAAAGTCCAGACAGGAGCAATGCTGCTCTTTTACCACGGAAAGTCATTTACCTTCGCAGCAGAAAGCGAGAGTCCCAACATCTGGATTGAATCACTCTGTCCTGCTGCAGTCACCAGATGCTTCAACATCTGTGGAGTCCATGGGAAATGCTGAAGTGCCGCTTGGCTGTGATCAAGTTGCAAAACCTCTGTTAACCTTGAACATGATCTGAAGCTCTGACCCATTTCAGATTGTTAATGGGGCATGCGATCGTAAGGAGAGCACCTCCCCAGGAAAACCACGCTTCCCCTGCGGCAGGAAGGAGAAGAGAGGAGAACAGGGCTGGTTTGGGTCTGGGCAGCCTGACCTGCCAACCAGTTTTGCTCACAGAGATGATTTGTGGCAAGACAGACCAATCTGCAGGTGCTCCTGGCTTCATAGGCTGCACCAAGGAGGAGCAAGGATGCAAGAGACCCAAATTATCTCCCTCAGGTAGCCACCCTGATGTTTTGGGTTATTTCAGAACTAATTCAGGTGCAGCCATCACAGACAGAGCAACAGTTCACTAGTTTCAACTTCTCATCCAAGCTGAAGTGTACAAACCGATGCCTTGCAACACAACTCCTGCTGTCCCTCTGTCCTGGCAAAGCCCTGCAGACAGGTAGGGTCTATGGGCTGGTTTGCCTTTGGTCTTTTCCAAGGATCTGCAGTAAATTGGGCAATTGGCTACTGTCCAAAGAACCACCCCAAGCAGTCACACATGGCAAAACTACACAACAGCAAGAGGCCTGCACTGCTCCAGCTGCACAGCGGAGCCCCGGGATGCTCCCTGCCATCCCCTCACCACCCCCAGGCACTACACCCCGTCGTGTTGGGTGGTTTGCATGGACTCACAGAGTTTCACAGGCATCCAGTGAGACCACAGGGACCAAATGATGGTCTAGGCTCACGTCTAAACTGAGCCAGTCAAAGCCAAACCTTGCACTGAAGTGCTGCCAGCCTGGATCTGGAGAGGCCAAGCAATGGCAGCTCATCACCTCCAGCCAAGGCTGCTCTTGCAGACCATCACCCTTGCACAGGCTCTGCTTTTTGTATCAGTTCCCAATGGGAAGGAGTAAGACTGCTCCTCTTTGCTCACACAGCTCTGAGGAGTCCAGTGGCCCTGAGGACACTCAGTGGTGCTGTTTCAGATTTGGGAAGGGGGAAGCACATACAGAAGGCAGTTCTTGGATGCTCGGAGCAAGGCAGCTCCCAGTGAGCCACTGGCACCACACAGGTCCACGGGTGCCAACCAGCAGATCAGCACCCCTGGGTGCCCTGTCACACACCATGGAGAGGGATGCCAGGTATCTGCTGCCTTGCAGCTTCCCGGTGCCAGATCAGCCTCAGGTCAGGCAGCTCCCCGTACCCTGCCTGCCCACACCACAGGCGTGTTGGGGTCCCTGCAGCTTCCCACGTTTGGTCAAAGCCTGTGCCATGTGTGGGCTCATTTTCAAGGCAGGGTCAGGCTCGGGGCAGGCTCAGGTCAGCACACCAAGGGAGGCACGGACATGGCTGCTGTCTGCCTCCCATCCCAGGCTGGAGCAGCTGATCTCCCCTCCTCATCCCCACCATCCTCCTGGGGCTGACCTCTCCCAGCCCCCGCTGCACAGGGGGGCATTCTCCTCCCTGCAAACAGCTGTGATCTCCTCTAGGAAGACAGGATTAACACATTCCTCACCTCCTGCCCCCAGCCAGGCTGCATCCACCGGAGCCATGCTCTAGGAGAAGCTGGACCATTGGGATGCAGAACAAGAGCCCCAAGGTCGCAGTCCCAGACAAACACATCCCTGCCTAGCCCAGGGGACACACCATGAGAGAGCACAGCATTCCTTGCTCCCCTCTGGCAGCAGGCAGCTGCCCATCCCTGCTCCAGCCAAGCCCCAGTCCCACGTGCAACAGCCAAAATGCAAACCTGCAACAGATGGGAAACGCCACAACTTTCCAGTCCCTGCTGCTACCACAGGGTCAGCAGCTTCACTCTGCAGCAGCTCCACAGCTGCTCAGCTATTTTCCCACTGAGCTGCAGAGTTAGTTTTCCTTCACCCCCTCCCATAAACTAAGTTTTATTTAGCCAGCAATGTCCGGACTAGCACATGGAGCTGGAGCATCACATGCAGAGCTCAACTTGGGGTTGTTCCCAGGGAGAGTGGGCAGCTGGAAGAGCTGGGACACATCGACTGGGAGATAAAACACCACCATAGCCACATTTCCTTGCTCCAGATAAGCATCACTGAACCTGCTGCGGGATTAAGACAGCAGCCAAGAAGTGTATACAAGGAAATGATGCCCAAAGCTTTTCAGGCTGAGACTTGCAGTACTCCATAGCTGGCATCAGGAAGGACTTTGTGGCATTTCTCAGTTGACCTGCAAGGTCCAGCATGACACACAGTATGGCAGAACCTCTGTCCCTGACTTTACACACCTTCACCCATGCCCAGCATCCCCAGGCACCCAGCTCCATACTTCTCACTCTGCCGGGCTTTGCTTCCCATTGGCAAGAGGAGGGAGGCCAGAGCTGATCCTCCCTGGCTGCTCCCACAGGAGACACCAGCAGTGACACCAGCAGCCACTCAATACCCAGCTGCCAGGAGGTGTCTGGAGCTAATCCGCAAAAGAATCAGGCTAATTACCATGCAAATACCCGAGCGAGGGATGCCATCCCCAGCAGAGCAGCCCTCGCATCTGCCCCTTGGCAGGCACCTGGTGGAGCAGCAGCACGGAAACACTGATCCTGCACCACGGGCTGTGCCTCGAACCTGTAAAACTGCAAAGTATTTACAGCCAAGAGCAAACACACCAGAACTGCAGAGGTGTCACCTCAATGCACCGGGGTAAGAACACCTTGTTCCAGCCACTGACTCACTAATTATACAGGCAATGCCAGAGAGCCAGGGCTGCCAGAGCTGGTGTGCCACAGGGCACCTGTGAGCACATGGCTATCAGACGTCCTCCCTAGGCAGCCCTGCCCTGAAAGGGCTTTGACCTTCACTCAGTTGAATCATTCATTCGTCCACCGCCTTGCTCCTCCAATCTTCTTCCTCCAGAGAGGCTTCCCTGCACTTCCCACCAGTACCACAGAGCCTTCAAGCTGCAAGGGGGACTCAGCTCTCGCCTCAATTTTTTAGGAAACATTAAACCCTCTTCTTCAACTTAGGAGTCTCCAAGCCCAGCCCAGGCATTCCCACCAGGATGCAGGCTCCCTGTCCTTGGGAGCACTGCCAAGGTTGTGCCCACAAGTTTCCCTCTCCCCTGCATCCATGCAGAGCCAGCAGCACCTTCTGGGCACACCTGCAGCAACAACCACCCCAGCTCCAGCGCCTCCTCCTCACCCTGCCTACTGCCATCGCTGCACAGCACTGCTGAGCCCAGCTCTCTTCATCATCCTCCAGCTCCACTGCCAGGCAGAAGGAGTGGGGAAAGGATTTGTATACCAAGATATCCTAAAGAGATTCAGCACCAAGCCAGAGCTGTGCAAAGCCTGGGAGCACAGCACATTCCTTGTGGAGCCACCTTCCCCATGGAGGAGCTCTGGGCCAGGCAGCCCACAGAGAAGGCAGGCAGTGGTTGGGCAGCATTTCCCAAGGATACCCACGGAGCGAGGGGAACAGCCTTACTTGCCCCCAGCAGCTCCCAGGATGGAGCTCTGGATGAAGCAGTGATGCTCAGCCCTGGATAGCCAGCTCTGTTGCAGCCTCTAGAGATGCCATGAGCAGCTTTCCAAGAACAAGCACGGCTTCAGAGGGGAGGGGGGGAGAGGGCAGCCTTTGGGCCAGCCGAGGGGGGGTCCCAAGCCAGTGCTCCGGCTCTACCCCATCCAATCTCGGGGCTCCCAGAGGAAGCAGCTCTCAGCATCGTGCTGCAACTGGTGCTCAACACTCGAGGGGCCAACGCAACTCCCTGCTTCGGGGGCAGGTACAGCCTGGCCGCCTCTGCTCGGACGTGGAGGAGGATGAGGGATGCGCTACCAGCGGCGGCCGGTCCCCAGCGGGACCCCGCCGCCAGCAGCGCGCCGGTGCCCTGCGGGACACCCCGCTCCGCTCCCCGCCGAGCCCAGGCGGTGCCGTCGGGGCGTCGAGGCCGTGTCCCCGCACTCACCTGTGACAAGGACGGCTCTGCCCGCCACCGGCAGCAGCCCGCGGGGCGCCGCCCGCCACAGCAGCAGCCCGGCGGCGGCGGCGGCCAGGGCCAGCCCCAGGGGCAGCGGCAGCCAGGCGCGGCACAGGCTCTGCAGCGCGGCCAGCAGCGCCAGCGGCAGCACCAGCCCCC